TGCCCAATAGTATAGACCTCTATGAACCTTACCCAAGCCTATCAGTTTCCTAGTCGAAGGGTCCTGAAATTTACATGCGTTAGGACAGAATTTTACAGTGCAAGTATTGTATTCACATAGTTTTGATACTGATATGAGGTTAAAATGAAAGGTAGGGACACATAGAGCATTTTTAAGGAATAAATTTTTGGATAATTGGACAGTGCCTATGTGAGTGGCCGAGATTATGTTTCCGTTCAGCATGCGAACAGATGTGGATGAGGTAGTGCAAACAGAGTGGAAAAATTTTGGATTACAAATGATGTGATCACTAGCCCCTAAATCAATAATCCACATGTCAGTAGTAACTAAATTGAAACAGTAGGAAGTACCTGCATAAGACGCTGTAGGTGCGGTGGGACCATTATTCAAAAGCTGAAGCAATTGATTATATTGATCCGAAGTGAGAACGGGTGCTTGCGGATTGCTGGAAGAAACTGAATCAACCTGAAAAGAAGAAAAATTGTTATTTTTGTCTTTAGGGCGTCCATGTAATTTCTAGCAATGGTCTCGATCATGATTGGTCCGTTTGCAATAGTCACAATATAATCGCCCCCGATTAGAGCGTGAATTGTCAGACCCATTGGACCCGTTTCTGGATCCGTTTGACCAAGGCTTGGGCCAGTTGACCAGTTGGTTGGCCTGTTTGACTCTGATTGTGACATGGCTCGATTTGAGCCGTTAGATGCGTTTAAAAACGCAACCAGCTTCTGACCGTCAGATGTAGAGATGAAATCTGGGCCTTTCATCTCTACATATAAATTCATGCCTTTTTCCTTTGCAGGTTGCCCTAGCCGCGAGCGCGCATCGTCGTTTTCCTTAGGCCTTGCAAAAACCAGAGAGTTAGTGGATGGCTGATCGGAGTTCAATTGGCATTGGCTCTCATCCTGTACCACCAGTTGAAAACTCCGACGAAGGGAAGGTGGTGGAGAAGTGGCCAGAACTTGGGTGCGAAAAGCATAAAAGCTTTCGTTCAACCCGAGCAAAAAATGTGATAGACGATCGCGATCGCGGATTCGTTGGTACTGGTGGAGGGTTTCCAACGGCCCTTCAAGAGATTCCTCAGCAGCGTCCAACTCGTTCCAAACGACAGAGAGTCGATTGAAATAGGTGGTCACTGAAGCGTTTCCTTGTTTGAGTTCGATCAATCGCTGCCGGAGGGTGTACGTTTTAGCGAGATCGAGTTTCCCATACATTTCTTTGATGTATGCCCATATATCGACGACCATCTCTGTTGGTGGGAGTCCGACCGAGACGTCTATAGAGATGCAATTACTGATCCATGAGCGGACCAGTGTGTTGCAGCGGTTCCAGTGGCATTGGAGATGTGGCTGTGGTGGTGGTTGGAAGCTTTGTCCAGGAAAAGCTCTTTGTCTTTTGCGATGAGAGCTCGCTGGAAATCGCGAGCCTATGATGCATAGTTGTCTGAACCCATAAGGGTTTGTTTGATGAGGACCAATTCTGGTCCATTGGAAACTGGCAAAAACAGAACGTCACCTGGTTCAGGGCGACCGTTGCTGTTGGCTGGGATGAAGCGAAATGGATACGGGTAGGGATTTGGATCCGTACCCGTTTGTGAACCAGATTCTGGGATGTGACCCGGTATTCCAAGAGGAGTTGGGTCGGTGCGGGTAAAAGAATCCGGGTCATAACCCATCATTCCATATGGGTAATGGGCTGGGTCAGGCCTGGTTTGTGTGTTTGGGCCGATTGGGATTGAACTGGTTTGGGTTGGGTCTAGGCCGGTGGAAATGGGATTTGCATTTGTTTGGTTTGCTGCAGTTGATTGAGTTTGAGTTGGGTTTGGATTATCTGCCATTTACAAAAAATTAAAACACTAAAACGAGTTTTCTGTTTGATTGCAGGAACAGAAAGGAAAGGCTTGTTTGTGCGGAAGCGTGAAGATTATGGCTCTGATACCATGTCAGGAATTGATATGAAGAGGCAAAGAGTAGCAGTTCAGAATGTTGATACTGCCAAAGTATGCCAAGAGAAGAGAAAAGAGGAAAAGATTTCTGTATTTCTTATTATGTATTAATCTGTATAGTGCTAATTTATACACCTTTTGTAATTGTAAAAATGGAAAACAATGAATACAATTAAATGTAATTATTCAATCAATCACATAAATTATGGATTGATTGAATGAGAGAATTGCTCTTTGATCACAACCAGCATGAATCAAGGAATTTGTGCATTCCATATTTTGTCATCAACCACTATGGATAATCCATTCTATTAGGTTGTGCCTTGATTTCACATGAGGATATTGATACTTTTAAATGGTTGTTCACTTGTTGGCTGTTAGCAATGAGAGATGTTCATCCAAAAGCCATAATGACTTATTAATGTGAAAGGATCAAGAAAGCGATCTCAGAAGTCATGCCAAATACTGTTCATAGATTTTGCTTATGACATATTCTATGTAAAGTCCTAAAGAAGTTTAAGAGTGTTGCAGACTATGGTACTGTAGTTCATGAGTTTAAAGCTGTCACATATGACAGCTTAACTGTTAAGAGGTTCGAGAGCAATTGGAATGGATTCGTAGAGAGGCATGGGCTGTAGGAAAATGAATGGTTGTCGAAGCTTTTCAAGGAGAGGGCAAATTGGGTGCTAATCTATTTAAACAACATATTCTGGGCTAGAGCTATCAACTCAAAGGAGTAAGGGCATGCATGCATATTCTGATGGATACGTGAATTCGATGAGCATGCTTAAACAATTTCTGGATCAATATGAGATTACTATGCGCGATAAGATGGAGAAGGAATTTTATGCTGATTTTAGAAGAAACGATATAGTGATTAAGTGCATTTCTGAATTTAAATGGGAGAGGCAGTTTTAACGAGCATTGACAAACGAAATGTTCAAGGTTGTTTAGGATGAAATAAGGAGCATTTGTACTGCGATATAACTCCTCATATCGATGAGGAAGTGTAGGAAGATGGTGTTGAGAAGTTCAAGGTGACAGAGAGATGTATAGTGAATGACCAGTATCACAAGGAGTTCACTTATGAAGTCGAGTCTATAAAAGATGGACAATTGTTATGGTGTGATTATAAGTTCATGCAGAAATTTTTTTTCTTTCTTTTTTAGAAGTATTACGTGTGATAATCCTTGTTTTACTTTCTTTCAAAATTTTCAGAGTCTTTTACGTGTGATATAGGTCTGAATTATGAATTTAGGGTACATATTTTATAGTCTAACATTAATGAAATGTTATTGACATGAGTAATATACTGTAGTTACTTTAGTATATGGTAAATGTTACTAAAATTACGTGTGATATAGGTTGGAACCTGAATATTCTATAATTTACTGAAATTACATATTATAAATCAAGCTTTTGAAAATTTGGTTTCATGGTAGTTATTGGAAACAGGAAATGAATTCAGTTTACAGTCCTGGTGCAATATTGGTTTCATTGTGTTTGGTTTCATTTAGACAAGCAAAATTTTAATGTTTGATTTTTCTTTCCTTATCAAATTTTAATGTAATTGCAGGAAATTTGAATCAAAGGGAATCCTTTATTGCCATATTTTTAAGATATTGTTTGTAAAAGACATTACCATGATCAATGAGCGTTATCTGATAAGGAGGTGGAGGAAAGACTTTATCAATGACACAACTATATCATTTTCATAGGAGAGTATCCGGACATGACAGAAGAGTATGAAACGTATAAAAGGATGGATAAGAAATTTCAAAAAGCATATTATTGTTTCCTTGACAACAAGAACAAATTGGAGTACCTGGACAAGAGGTTGGAAGACTTGAAGGCAAAATTGTTGAATTGGCATGAAGAGATGAATGTGCAAGAAAAGAACTCAGATGATGTTATTGTGAGGCAACTAGATGATGACAATAGGAGAAGAAATGGAAGAAATACAATTGTCTTTGATCCATTTGTGATGCGGAGTTATGGACGTCCATGGAGTAATTGATACAGATCACGATGCAAACTCCGCCAAAATAATGTAGCCAAGAGTCAACAAGCATGTCGAGGCGGAGAAGGTCAGAGTAGAGCAAGAGGTTGGAGAGGGAGATGACGAGGTTGACCAACCAACAACACCAATTCAATTGTTCCAAGTCAAGTACAATCATTGTATGATATTGTTTATTGTCATTGACACCACATTTTAACTTGATTTAGATTTTAAAAACATTTTGGTTTGCTCTTTAGGTGGAATACCATAGTGCAGGTAACAAGCATGCGACTGTTAATGAAAATGTACGTTATTTTGATCTGAACATAAGTCAAGACATTTATATGTCAAATATTAACAAGGATTTTAAGAGTGGTGAAATGAGTGAAAGAATAAGAAATGTAGACAATGATATTAATCAGACAATGAATATCATTCAAGGGTTATCCAATATTGATATAAGAAATTGGATAAGCTTATAGTAGTGACAAAGGTTTTAGGATGAAATTTTTTGTTTGAATGATCTAGGTGAAATTATTTGAAGTTCCTGATTGTTATGAGTTTTGGGTATTATTTGGTTATTGTTAAGTGGCTTAGTAATTTTTTTATTTACTATTATTTTAAAAAAAACACTATTGTTTGTTACTAATTTGGTTATTGTTTGTCACTAATTTGGTTGATGTTGTTATGATTCAGGGTTTAGTCACTTAACAGTAACGTTTTAATATAATTAAATGTTTGCAGATTGCATGGCTTCCAATAGAAAAAAAAAGGGGGATAACTTTAATTCAACATACTCTTTTTCATTTTAATTAAAAAAAAAGTCTTCCTTAAACCATGCAATATTGCAATGATTAGGAAACCGTCATGGACCAGTCAGTTTAACCGGTTAGATCAAGACCCGAGCCCTCCACTGGTCCGATTCAATATAAAACCCAGCTTTTGTGGTAAACCCGCTTTAGCCCAGCTTTGGACTGGTGAAACAATAATAACCCACCGGTTTGGACCCCAAACTGGGTCACTTATATAAAAAACCGGTTTTTTGAACCCTAAACCCAAAATTCACTCTCCATTCGCTCAAATATTCACTCTCTTCTCTGCAACCTTCACTCTTCTCATACAAATTGATCGAAACTTCTCTGGTTCTTCTCTCTTCTTGCACAAATCAATCGAATCACAAATCGATTGAAGAAACCACTCAATCGCACAAATCTTCTGTAGCCTTCGATCTCTCCGGACTCCACTATCGAAGGTTTCTTCCCCTCTCTTTTTGCGAACTTGTGATTAAATTAGTTTTCATATATAATGTCGATTTTTTGATGAGGTGATTTGGTTTGTTTTGGAGTGTTGGCTGATGGCGCTGAAGCTTGCGTTTTTTTTTTCTCCTACTGTTGTTTGGTTTTTGTTGGTTGCTTTGGATTTTTATGTTTCTGCTGCTTGCGGTTGGTGCTACTAGGCCCCTTCTCTTGCTGGTTGGTTTTTGACTGTTTCGTTTTTATTGTTTGTGTTTTTGGATTTGGTGCTGGCCCCTTCTCTTGCTGGTTGGGTTAGAGGTTCTTGGGTTGGGTTGGGCTTTTTTGTTTTTTTTTTTGTTTTTTTTCCTTTTGGTTTTGTATAGGCAGCCTTGCCTTTTCCTTTTGTTGCCATATTTTCAATTATGTCTCTTTCAGAAGTAAGATCTTTTGTTAATGTAGAAAATATTAAACTTTTTCATTATTTGGAGATTAAATTCATCACTTATCATGACCAACAACTTGGGATTTATACCATGAATAAGCAAGGAAATTATGAGCTAAAATGATATTGTTCTACTGGTTGCAGTCAGATCTCAATCCTGATCACATACATATAATAATAAACACATAACATAGGATTCTTTCAAACTAAGAAAACCCGACTAGTATGAGAATTGTTTATAGAAAAGATAAAGTCTAATTAAATAATTGATTTATTTACTATTTTTTTGTTTGTGCTCAAGGATTGGATGGTGTTAATGGAGCTGGGTTTAGATTAGCGGGTCGGACCCAGCTGCAATATGATTAAGCAGCTTAGGGAGAATTGCATGTCAACATCATACATAGTTGATGAAATGATAGTGTCCATTCATTTTTCTTACTTGCTTTCTTTAGTCTTTTTCTTTACTTCTATAGCATTTCAACTGTTTGTGTTGCTTCCAGTTTCTTGATTACATAAATTAATCAAAAATTCTCAAATAAAAATAATGGATTTGGGTGGGTAACCACTAAACTAAGTATTCATTCATTATTATAAAAACATATTTTTTTTTTTTTTTTTTTTTTTAAGGAATCCACCTAACCACTCTCCATTAGTCATTCAAAAGACCCCCACGCAAGTATGCACAAGCATTAATTGAAATTGATATCATGTTATCTTAACCTTCTAGTCCAAGAATGACATTGATTTTATTTATTGTTTTTGTTGGTTGCCAGGGAAGAGATAAAGACCAAGAATGTTATCATCTGGGTCTACGCATCATTCTACGTCCATGGGTGCTTTCTCACAATCTGTTCGAGGAAAGAATGATGTTGCATGGGCACATGTTGATAGCCTTGATGGAAATGGAAGAAGGATATTAACATGTTTATATTGTGGCAAGACAATTAGAGGTGGAGGTATTTATCGAATGAAACTACATCTCGTGGGAATAAAGGGGGATGTTGGAAAGTGCTCAAAAGTTCCCTATGATGTTGCATTCCAAATGCGAGAGGCAATAAAAGAAACTGGGGAAAAAATAAAGAAAAAGTTGAGTTTCGCATGCAAATCCTTATGGTGCTGTTGTATATGGGTTTGAGGGTGACATGAATGGTGAAACTTGTCAAGAGGTCCCTCTATCAGAAATGACCATTAATGAAGGTGATTCGGGATATAAAAAACAATGTACAAACACTAAGAGAAATAGACCGATTGGGATTGGTGATTATTTTGCTCCACAGACTACTGTTGGGTCTCAGCCCTCAATTAGGATTGTTTTGGTGAGAAAAGAAGCTAAATGGAGAACAGACATGGCTTTTGCAGGTTCTTTTATGATTCTTGCATCCCAATGAATGCTGTGAATTCAGTTTATCTCCATCCTTGATGCTATTGAGAGGAAAGCAAGTATGTTTAACGTGAGCAAGTCAAAGTTAGTGGATGATAGTGGGATATTTCGAGACCGTGAGGAAAGCTTTTCTCGTGAACTTGCCCTTCAAACCTCCAAAACCACATGACCTGATACGTAATAGTTATTAATTTCTCAGTTTTAAACTTCTAATTTTAAGTCCGATTTCTGAGTTATGACTTATGAGATTAATACGTTTATTTCTTATGCCTAATTTGCAATTAGGTGAATGATGGAGGACATATGGGTATAGTATTCCTATTTTTCAGAAGTTTTCAATTCAAATTCTAAGCCAAACTTCAACCTCTTCAGGGTGTGAGCGAATTTGGAGTGTTTTTGAACACATACATTCAAAGAAGCAAAATAGATTGGAGCATCGATGGTTAAATGATCTTGTTTTTGTTGATTACAAATTGCATTTGAAAAATAGGTACAATCTTTGGCAATTATGGATTACTCAAGTATTATCTCATATTTTCATTGATAATTTTATATGTCATACTTTTAATATTTAATTTAACTATGGTCTTTCAGGAGGTTTTACAAGAAATTAAAATGAGTGTTGATCATATTGATTATGAAAATATAGATAAAACTAAATTTTGGATGGTTGACGATGAAGAGGAGAATGGTGATCTTAATTATTAAGAATTGGAACAAACACTTTATGGAGAAAGATTTATTCTTGTCGGTGTCGGTGATCATTATGAATATAATTCAAACTTAGGAAATGCTTCACAAGGTAGTTATTTTAAATTAAATTAATTTAAAATTAGAAGTTTTAACTTTTAACTTATGACTTTCATTTGTTGTTGAAATTTTTGTAGATGGTGATGATGATGATGATATTAATGCAGAGCAAAATCAATAAATGATGGAATTGAATATCTTTTTGTTTATGTATTTGATATAGATCATAATTGTAATGGAAGTCTTTTTGATGGATTTGATATTCATATTTTGTTGAATGTTTATGTATTTGATGTAATCAGTAGTAAACTTTGGTTATATGATTCTAATGGAATTTTTTTTTTTTAATTTTGAATTTTTTTAATTTTTTTTGTCATGATGACATCACTGATCCAATCGACCAGTTGGACCTTTTGAATTGCGACCCGACTCCCTGGCTGGATTAGCAGACGGGTCGGGTTCCTAAACATTGCAATATTGTTTGTTGGAAACATGTCTGCATGCTCTCTATTCTTCAATGATGTTTTCTCTTGATTATGTTATCTTTGGAAGTATATTTTGTTTTGTATTGTAATTATTTGAAGGATAGATTTTCAAGCAATACATTGTAAATTGCCGTCGCCACCCCTGCCACCACCATTGCCACCAAATCATTGTCGCCATCCAACCATTGCTACCGCCGTCACATAGTCACTATTTCCATTCAACCACATTAATAAAATTTTAGGAAAATCATGTTTTCCAATGGATTTTCCTAAACTCCAACCAACACCACACAACAAAAATCTTATAACACCTTTTGGGTATAATGATAGTAGTATCAATACACCCCTTATCAATTGTCAAAACACATCTGTAATAGTTGCATCTACCAAATCTTATCACCAGAAGATTAAACTTTACAAATAAATCATTCTTACTGTAGCATCAGAAATTAAAAACATTTTGGTTGTCCCATTAAGAAACGAAAAAAAAATAATAATAATTTATGCAAGCTCATTATAAACATAAAAATTAAACAATACATTGATTTCTATTTCATTATCATTATAAACAAACGAAAACAAATTAAAATGAAATATAAAATCAAAGTAAATGAAGATAAGGTATACAAGACCTGGTTGAAGCAAAAATAAAATAAAAAATGCATGACCATGGAAACAAACTGAAACATCGATTTTATTCAAGGTAAACATGACATCAACACAAGCAAAAACGATCAAGAACACATATTAAAACATGATGACTAAACTCTTTCCTAATCCCACAACATCAAGCTCATTTAGTTAATCATATTCCCAAGTCCCAACATTCTTCTCGATATTTGTAACGCCCACTTTGAGATACATCGTTTACTCAAGTTTATTTGTCTTTTAAATGTTGTCTGTTGGCCTAAGTTAAATGGAAATGAGTTATTGTTGATTTTATGCCCTTCGTTTTGCTTATTTCAAGGGAAAAGATTGAAAAATCGACAATTGCAAACTTCGCCGCGATAATGAACTTTTTTCCAAATTGATGTCAGAACTTCGCCGAGGCGAAGAACCGTGAGAAAATTCTAGAGAAATCTTCCTTAGGGGCAAAATAATCATTCTACCCCTAATTAGTTGAAACTGTGGGGAATGCAAAATAAGAAAAATGGATGGAGAATGTAATAAAGGTAAGGGCATTAGTGTAAATGACTAAATGACAAAGATAGAATTTCCAATAAAGTGTAAGGGTAAAATGGGAAAGTATGCCTATAATATGAGATATTAAGGGTTTAGTTTTATAAACCCCTTCATTTTTCCTTATTCCACTGCCTCTTCCATTCTCCATTTTCTCTCAATTCTTCTCTCAATCTTTCAAGGATTTTTAAAGGCTTTTGGTTGAAACTTGATAAGGAATTGATCCTAAGCAACAAGAGGTAAGAATCCTTGCTCTAGATATGAGATTTATTTATGTAAGGGTTAAGTTCTTACTAAGTTTATGCTTAGGAAATAAGAGAAAGTTTAAGTCCAACAAGTGTAGAGAGCCTTAGTGAAGACTACTCAAGCATAAGGTAAGTAAATCCAACCCTAACCCCTTGTTTGAGCAAGTAAAACATAAAGATTGTTTTATGTGAATTTTATATGAAGTCCATATGCTTGAGATTTGTGTATGAAACTTGTTATTGAGTTTGATGATGATCCATGAGTGGGTTTTCTTCATGAGAATGGTTGGTTGAGTTGATAGAAGTTGGTTTGAATTTAGAGGGAGTTTAAGAGCATTTATGAATTGTATTTTCTTGGCTATGATTTGAGATGATTCAAGGGAGTTTTACTCTCATTATGGATGGTGTAAGAAAGAAGGAGAAGTATAGTTAAAGTAGACTTGAAGTATGCATGCATGATGTTTGATGAAATGCCTAAGAGAAGCTTGTGCATAAGTAGAGAAACTTATTTTGTGCAACATAGCATTTTTGCATTGCATAATTGCACTTAAGAAAGAAACATAAGCATGAGCCATCCATATGCATATACTTACATATGCATGGGACCTTCAAGAAAGAATAAAGAATTCATAAGAATAAAGAACAAGAAAGAAAAACACTAAAGAATTAAAGAAAGAAAAAGTATTAAAGAAGAGAAAAGAATAGGTTGTTGCGATGGGGAACTCGTGAGTGGTAAGAAGAAGAAATTCCCACATACACACCACCTTAATTGAGTGGCATAAGAAGAAGAAGAATTTATACGACCTGTAAGAGTGTATGTGGATGAGGGTTGTACCAAGAAGAATTCCTACATGCACGCCACCTTAAATGAGTGGCCTAAGAAGAAAGAAAGAATTTGTACGGTCTGCAAGAGTGCATGTAGATGAGGACTGTACTCACTCCCACGGCTAGGGTTCTGAATCCATGCATCAACCGAATCCGATCAGCAAAGAATAAGAAAGAAAAAACATAAGAAAAGAAAGAATAAGAAAGAATGAGAAAGCTTGAATAAGCAAAGAAAAAGAAAAGAAAAGAAAAAACAAGAAAGAAAAGAGGAGCTTGAGCAAGCAAGAAAAGAAACTAATAGAAAGAAAATAAAAGAAACAGAATAAGAAATAGAAAAGAAGAAAGAAAATGCATTTCTATGCATTATTGCATATGCATTTCATTCATGCATATTACCATAACTTCCCTCATGGTTGGAGAGAATAGAAAGAACGAACCGAGAGAAAGAAAGAACAACAAGAATTAGAAAGAAAGAAAGAGCCGTGAGAATTAGAAACGGAGAAAGAAAAGAGAAAGAATTAAGAAGAAAAGAAATAAGTAAGGAAAGAACCAAAGAGGAAGTTGCGGGGATAGAAGAGAAAATGATTTACTTACTAAGCATTTTTGTGCTCACCCCGTTGTTTTTCCATGTTTTGCAGGAAATAGGTGAGAAGCAGTTGGATGGACGTCGAAAAGCAAAGAGAAATGGAATCACTGTCCACCGTTGCTAAAGTTTTTGTACATGTTATTTTGGGTATATGTAAAGAATTATTTTTTATAAGTAAAGAAAAATTTGGGCCCAACTATTTTTTATATGCTATATATGTATGTTTTCATCGTATATGTTCTAAAGTATACTAGTAGAAAGTAGTTATTACAATATTATTGTCATTAGTACGTCGAGCATCGTTTACATCCAAAAAAATGTCGTAGGAGGCCATAAGGGGAAATTCATTGAGCAACACTTCTTCAACAACAAGATTTTCAAAGTCCTTATTGAGCCTACAAATTAGCTTCTTAATCTCATTTTTTAGATCCAGGAGTTACGACCTTGTGCTCTTGTACATGGTTTCCATAGCTGTTAGGCTTGCAGGCATTAAGTTGCGTTTGTTAGATGTGCTAGGGAGATGTAAGAAGCAAATCAAAACAAGAAAGAAATTTGAAAGATTGTTAAGAGTGTCACCGTTTTATAATGCACATGAGGTTGCCTTGAAACTTTTCATTAAATATTGTGTTGGTCAATGTATTAATTGAGGGAGAAGTGCCCAATGTAAACTTGATTTGGAACACAACAAAGTATTAATTGGGAGGGTGATGGTCAACATATTAATTGAGAGTTTAATGCTCAATTTACCATTGCTTTGGAACACAGCAAAATATTAATTTCGCATTGAAATTAACTTGCTACAATTTTGTTTGAAGGTGGAAATCAGTTTGTATCTTCTTCCATTGATCCTGGAGGTATTTACAAAAACCTCATCTGCCCCTCTTTTCCTTCTTTCATCGAAACTATGTTTTGTGTTACACTTCAGGATAAATATTTATTTTCTGATAAGAATTGTGTTTCACTTTAGGATAAATATTATCGTTAATATTATTGTTAATAGTCTTAAAATATAATATTATTTAAAAGATAATATTATTGTTAATGATCTTAAAAGATAATGCAAACCCTAATATCATATTAGAATACCAGGTAAGCCATATAATGCTATACTATTAATGCAAGTAAGACAACCTTTTAAAATGACATGTAGATATTCTATTTAAATTTTTTTATAATTCACAAAATTATAGACATAAAAAAAAANAGGGTCAAAATCTTACAATTGCCTTTCAGTGATGTTGAGATGTAAAGTGTTTGATTTTGACGGTTAAGAATGTTTGTCCTCTTTATTGACTTTTGGGGTTTGAATCACTTTGAAATCATATATTTGTGGCTTACCTTATAACATTGAGTTTATAGGTGTTCAATAGACCTCCAGGATTAGTTAAGATGCGTACAAGTTCACCTAGACGTTTCGTTCATAAAAAAAAAAAAAAAACAGAAAGTTATACTACTATGTAAAATTTGTGACAAACGTGTTATTTCAATAATATATGTATGGTGTTATTTGGTAAATCATGTCATTTACCAAATTACATGTTAACTTATACATATATATACTCAATACTACATATTGTACTATATATATGGCATGTATATCTGATACACTATATAAAAAATCACATAGTAAGTCAATACTATATACCATATTTATCTCTCTCTCTCTCACACACACACACATATATATGTTAAATAAATTTTATGTACATTGAATTTCAAAGTCAAATTATTATTATTATTATTATTGTATTCCATAGAAATAATGCCTAAGATCAAATTTTTCTAGGGATTTAAAATTTAAATACATAGATTATGTAACATCTTTCAAATAATTACATGAATTTAAGATTGTTTAATTAAGTTACATATGGTAGAATAGATAATCGGAGGATGTAATATGTATATGTTTTATAACATTTTCTTTTCTTACTAATTACTACTTGCTATATATAAATTCCTACCAATTAATGAGCAGGAGTATTACCTTTAAACTTTTAAAAAGTCAAGCTCCATCCAATACTAATACTA